GGCAGTACTGGAAGATGCAGGCAGTACTGGAAGATGCAGGCAGCACTCCCAGTGCAGGCAGTACTGCAAGGTGCAGGCAGCACATGCAGTGCAGGCAGCATGGGGCAGCCCAGTGAGAAGCTGCACCACCCCAGCCCTGAGCTCCTTCTGGCCCCCATCCTGCCTCACCACTCCCTCCCCAGCCATGCCGTCCACACTCACAGCAGGTCCCCAGGGTCACCAGGGCCACCAACAGCAGCAGGCTGACTGCCAGAAGCCCCGCAGGGACACAGCACCGCCGGGACCAGTGCCCTGCAAGACATACCAGCAGCCACGAGTCACCCATGCTGCTGGGGGCAGTGGGGCCCCTGTCCCCATCCCCATCCCCATCCCTGTCCCCCTCCGGACACTTGCCTGGGCTGTGCTGGGTCCCTTCCCCTGCTGTCCCCACAGGTGCTGATCCCGGAACAACGTTCTCATAGGGGCTGTCTGTGTCGTCCATGCTGGCTGTGGGAGGAAGGGCGGGCAGCGATGGGTGATGATGCTGGCCATGTGGAGAGGTGTGAGGTCCCCATGACTCTTACCTGCCTCCAGCACCTGGCTGGTTGTGCCGTGGCCCCCTGGCCCCTTGGCGAATCTCAGGTCGGCGTAGAGCACGCTCTGGGCCATGGGGCTGCTGGTGGCTCTGCCCCAGACAGGAACAGGCCAGCAACTTTGACTTCTACTCACTTCAGTCAGATGGTAACTTATGATCATGTGTAGGGTGGGGAAAGTTCTTGATTTACAGGAAAGCAGAAGTAATTGACTGATTTGAAAATGTGGTTTCCTTTCCAATGCTGATCCTGTGCGGAGGGCAAAAGCACTGCTCTGTTCCTGCACAGCACTCTCTGCCTTGTTCAGCATCACATCATAGAATCATAGAAAAGAGAATGGCTCAGACTGGAAGGGAGGTCAGACTGTTTTCCCTCTGGAGGGTGGGAGTGAGCAAAGCATTGTGAGTTGCTGAGTTGCCTGTGGAGTTAAACCACACCACCATTGTGCGGCACCAGGAGCCCCATAGCCTTGGCCACAGAGGGACCTTGCTTTCCCCCATGTTCTCTTCCCCATTGCATCACCAGTTCCATGTTCGGGTAGCAGCCAGCGTGGGGAGCACCCAGGAATGCCCTTGCTGAGCTGCTTGTCAGCTCCCACATGGGGAGGATGGACATAAGAGCATCTGCCCCAGTCCACACAGGACCTGTTCCACCTCCCACCAGGCATGGGGACATTTGGACCCATGCTAGCTCTGAATCCCAACCCTAAACCCCAACGCCATCCAGAGTGTGAGTGTCAAAGTTTATTAGCAACGTGCAATAAACAAAGGAGAGGGATGAACAGCTGTGAATACAGAGTCAGTGCCCTGGCTACGTGGCAGGCAGGGGTGGGTGCTGGGCACTGGCTGTCCCCATGGTCATCAGGGCCCTGCACAAGTATAGGTGGTGTTTCCCCAGAGGAAAGCAGGTGGTGAGGACTGCAGCCACTGCAGGTTGACTGCACTTTTCTCGCATACCCAGCCATGGGCTTCCCTACAGTCACCACCAGACAGCCCTGATCCCGACACTCTGCCACAGGCCAGGAAGGAGCTGGTGGAGCGTTGGATTCGGAAGAGCCTGTTTTGAGGGAGTGGGAAGAGATAGGAAGAATGAGAGGCAGGGGGCTGAGCCAGGGAGCACATCCCTGCCTGCAGGCTGGCTGTCCCCCCATTACCTCTCCAACCTCTTGCAGCACTCACCTCTTCAGCACAGTGCCATCCAGCCATTTCCATTCAAACCCAGAAAGGCTCCACTTCAGGCCCACATGGAAGACATCCATATGGGACACGTGTGTCAGGAAAGCCTGCACAGGAGGAGATAGGCATGAGTTCCTCAGGGACACCCGGCTGCAGCCACTTGGCTCTGGCACAGCATCCAGATCCCAGCTGGATTTTAGGCACTGGAAGATCACTGGGAGACACTGATGCCATCCAATGACCATGGTGAGGTTGGAGCAGCCAACCGGGTACTCACCAGTGTGCTGTTGGCTTGGATGATGGCCAGCTGTGCTCCCCTAGAGCAGCAGTCCTCCTTGCTCTGCTCCCAGCTCCTTTTGGCCGAGGAGAAGTAATAGCAGTGCCCTGCATGCCACAGCCAGCCAACTGGGCAGAACTGGCAGCTCCCTGTGTACAAACACAGCCTGTGGTGGGTGGCACTGAAGTGCCAGAAGACAGACAGGGTGCCACCAACCCTGCAGAGAGGACCGCAAACTCGCCTTTCTCCTACCTTGCAAAGCCTGTAGCCCAGAGTTGAGGTTCTCCATGCACTGGGGACCATGGCAGCAGCTCGCCTGTCGGGCTAAATCTGCAAAAGAGGAGAGAGCACAGTAGCATCTCCAATTTTTGTTGACATGCCTTCCAAGCTAGTCAACATTGCTGGAGCTGGAAACGGGTCACACAGCTGGCTTTTGGAGAAAGTGTTTCTGCCTTTTGGTTTCAGCATCTCATCCTGTCTTCACACCACCACCAGGTGACAGAGCAAGATGTCCTGGTGTCATCCCTAAGCCCACATTGTCCCATACCCTCCTGCCTTTCTCTCCAGCAAATGAAGATGGTTTACCTTCATTTTTACTTTTTGCCCCAAAGCCCACAGACCTGCAGTTCCCTCTGTCCCATGCAGGAAGACACACAGAGCAAGCAGGAGGTGCACACAGAACCGTGGTACCAACCACGACTCCAAGCCCCTGGGCAGAGAGGGGGACACAGAGGCACTCACAGTGGAAGCTCAATCCAACGAGGATGATCTGTGCCAGTAGGAGCAGCAGGGACAGGGCTCCAAGGCCGACGGCTGTCCAGTGCCAGGACATCCGCGCCGTCTGCACAGGGGCTAAAAGAGGGAATGCCATTTGGGGCTGAGTGACAACAATGGGGAATCCCCCCATCACACCCTAATATCTGGTCACTGCAGGCAGGGGCCTCCCTCATGCTCTGTCCCCAAAAGATGACAGAATGTTGACATGAAATGAAAACATGGCACAGGGAAGGCAGCAGAGCAGGTGCCTACGTGCACTGTGCCACGCAGCAGGCTGCAGCAGCGTGCAGCCCCCCGGCTCCACCAGCAGGCTGTTCGCAGTGTGGGAATGGGGCAAGAGGATCTGCAGGAGAGGAGAGCAGTAGGGAAGGGTGGGGGTGCTTCTGGCAGGAAGGATGGAGAGCAGTGTGCCCTTACCTGGTGCAGGGGGCAGGCGCAGCTCAGCATACATGACATCCCCTTCCATCCTTCCCTCTCTCTCGCTGTGCGCCCCACAGCTATGGGGGGGAGCAGCAACCCCTTTCCCCAGCCTCCCTCTGTGGCAGCCGAGTGTGACACGAAATGGAAAGTGTCACTTCCTGGTGAAGTCCCCGGAGACACCAGCTGGGTGACAGCCCCAGGGGGTGCAGGCTGGCACCGTGGGACAAAGGAACCCCGCACCCGCAGCGCCGACTGAGAGGGCTGGAGGTGTGAAATACTCTCAAGGCTGCTCTGCCTGCTCTGGGAAGCAGAGAACCCTCTCAGAACCTCTGAGAGCAGGACACGAGGCTCTCTCCCGAGGAGCAGGGTGATGGGGGCGTGTGCAGAGATGGTTTCTGCCACCTCTTTTGCATGGGGCTGCAGCTGCGTCTCAGCCCTGGAAAGCCGGGGGATGGGGTGCTCCTTCCCCTCCCCCTCATCTTGAGGGCTGCCCCGACGGGCATCCCCGCGGTGCCCTGGGGCTGAGCTATCCAGCGCGGTCGGGGCTGGATGAAGCTGCTGGGGCTACTGTTTGACGGTTAGGGTGAGGGTTAGAATTAGGGTTCTGCCAGTTCCTCCCCGGAGCCCCGATCCCTGCCGGCGCGGAGATCAGTGGGGGATGGATGCTAGAGGGACGCGCACGCCCCGCCGCGCCAGGACTACGTTTCCCAGCGGCTCCTCCAGGGGCTGCACATGCTCCTTGCTGCTCCCGGCGTCTCCCGGCAGCTCCCGGTGCAATTCCCAGTGTGGCTCCCGGTGGACCCAGGTGCGGCTCCCGGTGCGGCTCCCGCCGCCATCCTCGGTGCGTGGTCCCCGGTGGGTCCCATCCCCAGCGTGGCTCCCGGTGCAGCCCCCCGCTGACCGGGGCCTCCCCCCGCGCTATGCCCCGGGGGCGAGCCTGGACGCAGGCGGAGGTCGGCAGCCTGCTGGCGCTGGTGGGGGGCTCGGGGGAGGCCGCCCTACTGATGGCCTCCACCTCTCGGCCCAACGAGGCTCTGTGGCAGCAGATCTCCCGCGGGCTGGCGGCGGCCGGCTACAGCCGTAGCGTGGCCCAGTGCCGCTCCAAGTGGAAGGCACTTAAGCAAGCTTTCCACTCGGAGCGGGAGACGCGACGCAGAGCCGGACTCCACTCCCCCCGTCTGCCTCCGCACTACCGAGCCATGAAGAGCATCTGGAAGGCTGCCGGTCGACCGGTTTTCCGCGAGCGGCGTCTGCTGGGTGGGTGCCGGGGCTGTGGGAAGGGTGGGTGCACAGCCAGGGTAGAGCTAGAGCTTTTTCTCTTCTTCCAGACCTGGGGAAGCTGCCTCCCAGGAGGCGCAGATCGGTCCCTGCCACCTGCTCTCCATCCTCACCAGTGCCACCAGGTACCTAGAGTGGGGCTATTGGGCTGTGGGAACCCTCAATTCCTGTTTGCTGAAGCTCCTCTCTGCAGATTCCCAGGGCATGCTGCTGTCTCCGCTGCTGTGGCATGTGAAGGATGAGCCGGAGAGCTGTAAGTACCACTCTGCCCCATCACACCGGGCTGCACGGCCACGGCTCCAGCCCATGCCCGCGCCAGCATGATGGGAAGAGGGGTCTTAGGGGTGCTCCCAGGATGGACTTGTCGGTAGGGATGTGCATGGATAGAGGTTTTGGGAACGGCCCCAGAGCATGAGGATGTGGGGCACAAGGAGTTCCCCAGCCCTGACCCAGCCTTGGGACTGGTGGCTACTCATGCAGCTGGCAGGGATGAGGTCCTGCTGCAGCCCAGGAGGCTCTTGCAGCTGTACAGCACTGCAGAATGTGCAGCCCCTGCCTTTAGCTGCAGGAAAAATGCAGAACTTCAGAGAATATAGGACTGAGGGCGAGGGCCAGAGCTGGGAGCATCTCCACCTGCATGCAGCCTGAAGGGTGCTCACAGGGATTGGCACTGAGGTGATGCAGGCTGCATGCCTGGTTTGTGTGGGCAGGTGGAAGCAGCAGTTGCTGTTCCCTGAGCCAGCAGTCATCGGGGTGAAACAGCTTCCTCCAAACAGGAGCCCCAGCCTGCTTTGTCCCCAGGCCCCCAATAACAGGGGGGAGTGAACCCCTGCACCCAGCCAACATCCGCACTGGGTAATTACATTGTCTCCCTAAATTCCCCCTGCAGTTTCAAGTGGATGTGGGATTCTCCTTCACTTCCAGTCCTAATCTGTTGCGTAGCATGGCTGTGCACCGCTGCGCGGTTGCTGCCTTCTAGCCCAGAGGTGGCTGCATTGCAGTGGTGGGTGAGTGACTCCTGCTTTTGTTTCTAGCTCATGAGACACTTTGAGGCCCCACAGGGTGATGGGGAGCTGTGGCTAGGGCACGCCGGGCTGGCCGTGCAGCAGGGCAGATCCCAGGCTGGTGCTGTTTCCAGCAGGTCCCAACAGACCCTGTGTCTCCTCTCTGCTCTCTCTCTGCAGCCTGCGGGGAGCATATCGCTGGAGCAGTGCCTGACCCCACATCTGTCCCACGTAAGGCTTCCCCTGCCCTGGTTCCCTCTCTCGACCCTGCCAGCAGACTCTGATGCAGTTCTTATTGCAGACACCACTCACTGCATCCCTCTCCTTCCCATCCTGGGTGAGTACCGTCCCCTGGCCACCGAGCTCAGGCATCCTGGAGGGAGAAACAGTCCTTGGTGACACTTTGCATCTGCTCCCTGCAGGCAGCCAGACTGTCCTGAAGCAGGAAAGTGCTGAGCAGAAGGCAGGTAAGAACTTGTGCCCTCTACTATGTGCTAAGCTGGAGCAGGGGTCTGAGCCCTGGCAGCTGGGGCTGAGCAGGGGACTCAGTGGCCACACAGTCCCACTGCGACCCCCATGCCAAACTCTGGTGCAGGTTTCCCCATTGAGACATCCCTAGGGATGGGAGAAGGGAACATCGTGCTGTCAATGCCCACTGCAGCCCCCGGCTCTCCCAGACCCTGCGAGCAGACAGCAGCCAGTGAGGATGTGTCGGACGCCAGCCTGCAAGGTAGGTCATGCCCGCAGACCCCTGTGGATGCACAGTGAGGCTGGACTGCCCCTGACCCCCTTCCCACTGCAGGCTGTGGCGTGGCCGGCCTGCTGCAGAGTGTGCAGCAGCTGCTGGTGCAGATTCTGCAGACGTCGCGACAGCAGCAGGCGCTGCTGGAGAGCCTCGCCAGCGACACCGTCTCCCACCTCCACCTCCTCTCACACAGCCTGGTGCAGGTGGGTGAGACCTTGCACCAGCTGCTGCTCCGTCCACAAGCCCCAACCGGCCATGGTGCTCCGCACATTCCCCTTTTTGGGGGCAGCCCCCCAGTGCCACTGCTCTCTGGGCTGCCTTGTGCTTCCCCAGGTCCCAAAGAGGAGTGCCGGGCATCTCCTGGCTCTGGCTGCACCCTGCCGTGAGTGTGCTTGTGGCACAAATCTTTATAACAGGAGCTCTGGGGATTTTAGATGTTTATAGAAGACACAGATTTTAGTAACATTAAAAATAGCTTTTGTATCAGCAGTGCCAATTGACCAATTATTTCCCCCCATACTCAAGGTTTCGAGTTGAGCGGAAGGGGAACTGCTCTATTTAAAGCCTCCCAGAAACTCCCCTGGGCCGATGTGCACCCATGGGTGGAACTTGGATGGTGCCACTGTCACCTCTCCAACACCTGGCTCCCAACCCAGCGGGGGCGAGCCGTGCTGGGGAAGTCCATCACCTCTAGTGGCACTCTTCCCTGCGTCACATGCAGTGGTTCCGTGACACTGCCACCCCCGATGGGGACACTCTCAAGCCCTGCTCTGTGCTCTGGTCTCTGTTTCCAACAGGCTGCAGCCACCACCCCAGGGCACAGAGGCACACAGGCTCACCCGGCACGGAGAAGGGACATCTCCCTGGCAGGAGATGACATGTGATGTGTGGGTGGTGGGAGGCTGGGGGCAGTGAGAATGCAGTGAAATGCAGTGTAGTCTAATGAACTTAAATGAAATGCAAAAAAAATCCAAAGCAATGCAATGCGGTGCAATGCAACACAATGAAACAAAGCTCAATCCTAACCCTAACCCAAATGCAATACAGTGGATTGCAATGACATGCAATGCAGTGCAATGCAGCGCTACCCTAACTGTAATCCTAACACTAAGCCTAGGGCTTAGAGGGGTGTTGTGGGGGTGCAGAAGGCTCGAGATGCAGTGGGGCTGCAGATAGGAAGTGCAGAGGATGTAGCAGGTTGCAAAGAGGCTGCAGTGTTGGGGCACGATGAGGTTGCACTGGGGTTCAGCACGGTGCAGTGAGGTCGCATTGGGTGCAGTGAGGTTGCACTGGACTGCCGTGGGATGCTGCAGTGATCCAGCGGAGCGCAGCACCGAGCAGCACTGGGCGGCAGCAGGCGAATGTCCCGGGGTGCGCAGGGCCGGAGCGACGGCTCACCAGCCAATAGGAGATCAGGAAGGAATAAAGGGGGCGTGGTCACGCCGGGGTCCGCCTCACTCGCAGAGGGGGCGGAGCCAATTCGGTGCAGCCAATCAGGCTGCTGGATGCGCGCGGGGCTGGATTTCTGAAGACGTCACAGGAGGGGGATTCCCCCAGCGAGGGAGCCCCCCCCCACCCGGCACCCTAATTGGGATACAAGGAGCGGGCCAGGAGTGTTATTTTCGTGCCCAAAGCCCCACCTCGCCTAATTCGTCCCGTACCTGCTGCACGAGATCCTGCACTGCAGACCTCACCCTGTTCGTTTGCCTGGACACCGTGGGCTGCAGGCAATGGGACGTTTTGGGAAGATGGGATGGGGTAAGAAGGGCACGGAGAGGTGAGATGGGCACCCAGAGCCAGAGTTCTGAAAGCTCAGCCCATCCTTAATCACTTTTCTTCCACAAAAGACAGGTCATGCTTACAGCTGGAAGCCACTCCACCCTGCAGCAGCGGGGAGAGCTGCCAATTGTTCCATCTACCTTTCATGCACCAACTGCAACAGCATTGCCTCTGGGCCAGGACGTGCCCCCAGCTGCTGGGGTACTGGCACGTGGCTGCCATGCTCTGGGACCTCATTCTGGTCTGCTGAGCCCTGCAGGGAGCCTGCAGTGCTGTCA